AGAATGGCCAGACTTCATCTCACCTACTTTGGTCATGTTATCAGAAAGGACCATTCCCTGGAGAAGGATGTCATGGTTGGTAAGGTGGAAGGTCAATGAAAGAGAGGAAGGCCCTCAACGAGATGGTTTGACACAGTGGCTGTGGTGATGAGCTCAAGTATAGCAGGGATCGTGGAGCTGGCGTGAGACTGGGTGGTGGTTCGTTCTACTGTGCGTATGGTCACTATGAGTTGGAGATGACTCGACAGCACCTAACAACAACCACATCTAGGAAAGAACCAATGTCAGATTACCTAATAAGCAAGATAAGCACGGGGTTACTTGTGCTCATTTACCAATCTGTAACGACAGTTTCCTTGTTTTTCATTTTATCAAAGAGGGGAAAATGTTCAAAAATTGGATTCTAGTGAGGGTTGCAAAACTCAATAAAAATCCATTGGATTGAGCACTTAAAATGAATAGATTTTATGGAATGCAAATTATACTTTAATAAAATATTTTTTCCCTAAGACGAACAATAGAAGGATAACCAAAAAGATGTTTAAAACAGTTGGCTATAGGAAAAGGAAAGAAACAGGATAGAAGGAACAAATAGAAAAGCCAGACTTCTCTGCATATACTTTTTATTCACTTTTAGACTTTACTTTGAAACAAAGTAAATTCCTGTCTGTTGTTATTGTTGTTGCATACCATCAAGTCCTAGTGGCCCTGTAGGACAGAGTAGGTCTGCCCCTTAGTGTTTCCTATGCTATAATCTTTACAGAAGCAGATCGCCAGGTCTTTTCTCCCTGTATAACATAACATAAACTGAAACAAGCAATGGCTAAAAATCGAAAGCAAATAAAAACAAATGTACCTAATTGTGCACTGCACTGCTGGCTTAACAAGAGAGAAATTATTTAATATGACTTTAAAATACAATAATTTATACATTTTTGGAAGATACATACTAAGGACAAAAATGAATTGCATTTTTGCAAAAATTGTAAACTTTTTAGTAATCATATTGTTAACAATATTTATATTTCAAATCATATATTCATATAATAGGATTTAACATGTGTGAGTACATGTGTAAAAGGGAATACGTAATTATGTTACTACTGTTAGGCTCAAGATTTTCAGCATGAGAAAGAAAAGATACAAAGGTGAAAAAACAAAGAAGTCAAAACTCTGTAATCATAAATTGCAACCCGTAAGGAGATAGACAGACACAGTGGGTGCAACAAAGAGCTCAAGCATAGCAACACTTGTGAGGATGGTGCAGGATGGGGCAGTGTTTTGTTCTGTTATAGACAGGGTCGCTATGAATCAAAACCAACATGATGGCACCTAACAACAACAATCATAAATTTGAATCAGAAATATTAGTATAAATTCATGATTTTTTTTTTTTTTTTGAGAAAAATATACAAGTATTGCCTAGCTCTATCCACAGAAAAAAAGCTGGAAAACAATGACCAACCTAGTAGTACTAAGATTGTGGTCAATAAATAAAGAAAATTATAGTTTCTTAGAGAGATGGCTAAGGAGCTCTGGTGATATAGCAGTTAAGGCATTTGGTCAGTGGTTCAAACCCACCAGCTGCTCTGCAGAATAAAGATGAGCAAGTCTGTTTCTGTAAAGATTTACATCCTTCAAAAGCCAATAGGGGTAGCTATGAGTCAGAATCGACTCAATGGCAGTGTGTGAGTGAGTGAGTGAGTGAGCGAGTGAGATGGCTGACTTCAGACTTGAGACAGGAAATATACAAGAAGAGTCAAGAAAACTTTATCACATAAGAAATAAAGGAAGTTATCAAAGACTATTGAGGTCATGTCCAAGGACTCAGGAGTCAACCTGAAGAGGTTGTTATGGGCTAAAGACGGGGCTATCTGAGTATAAACCAAAACTTAACCCACTGCCATTGAGTCAATTCTGACTCATAGTGACCCCCTTTGGGTTTTTAAGATGGTAAATCTTTACAGAAGTAGATTGCCCAGTCTTCCTTCTGTGGAGTGGCTGGTGGGTTAGCAGTCAAATGCCTATAGAAAAAATAATAATTGTATTTGCTTGAAACACATTCAAAATCACTGCTATCGAGTCAATTCCAACTCACAGTGACTCCCACTGGATTTCCGAGGCTATAAATCTTTACAGAAGCAGATCACCCCATCTTCCTTCCATGGAGCAGCTGGTGGGTTTGAGCTGCTGACCTTTTGGTTAGCAGCCAGATGCCTTATTCACAACACCACCAGAGCTCCTCAAAAGGAAACAATGACTAACCTAGTAGTTGGGCAATCCTACTTCCGTAGTGATACTGCCTCGGAAACCCAAGGAGGGGTCGCTATGAGTCAGGGCCGACTCGATGGCAAACAACAACAACAACACTAAGATTATGGTCAATAAATAAAGAATTAAGGTTTCTTAGGGAGCTCTGGTAGCATAGTGCCTAAGGCACTTGACTGCTAACCAGAAGGCTGGTGGTTCAAACCCACCAGCCACTCCTTGGAAGGAAGGTTTGTGCAATCTACTTCCATAGTGATACCACCTCAGAAACCCAAGGAGGGGTCACTATGAGTCGGGTCCAACTCGACAGCACATAACAACAACAACAGAGAGATGGCTAAGGAGCTCTGGTGGTATAGCAGTTAAGGCATTTTGGTCAGTGGTTCGAATCCACCAGCTGCTCCGCATTTATCCTGCCTTTACTATAGAAACTACCTCAGTGTATTTGATGAGATAAAGTTCTTCTCTATGAAAGTATTCCAGCTAAATAATGAAGAAAGGATTATAGAATTCAAATACCACTATTTTGCAACCTCCAAAGAAAAAACAGGATTATTAACAATCATCAACAGCTGCTAAAACTATTAGGTGAAGAGCTAACAGGGAACCCAGAGTGGACGAATCAGGCTGATAACCCCTGAACCCACTAATCAATCTTAACATGACAAAGAGAGAAACAATCAGACATTATGCACTTCTCGATATGTATAGCATCAT